AGTCACATTGGCGGCGAATATCTAAACTCTAAACTTCGTGCCTTTCTTGATCATTATGGTATTTTTCATCGGATTGCATGTCCATACACTCAACAACAAAATGGGATGGTTGAATGCAATAACAGTCAGCTTCTAGAGGTTGTTCGTGCTTTTTGCCTAAGGCGTGTCTCCCGCTATCCTTTTGGGGAGAAGTTCTCACCTTAGCTGCGTATCTCATTAATCATGTTCCATCATAATTAGTCGATTTTCAGACAACGCTACAGGTTCTTTCCTCATATGTTGATGCTCATGCAGTTCCCAATCTTCCACTTCATGTGTTTGGCTGTGTGGTCTTCGTTTATCTATATAAATAGCAAAGAAATAAACTAGAAGCGCGAGCCTTACAGTGTGTGTTTATGGGGTATGCCTGAAATAAAAAGGGGTATCGTTGTTATCACCATCTGAAGAAAAAGTTGTTTGTCACTGTGAATGTTGCATTTCAAGAGAATGATATGTTTTGCCAATCCCAAGTCTTCACTTCAGGGGGAGAATCAGATAGAAGTTCAAACTCTTGATTATACTATTCCAAATACAAATAGTGTGCATGATTTGGATTTAAGTGGTGATGTCTTGGAAATAAGTGGTCATCATTCACACGAAAAAAATGATGTGAATGAATTGGAACTAAGTGGTAATGTCTTGGAGACAAGTGGTGATCATTCACATGGAAACAATGTTGAAAACCTTGAAAGGGACGAGTTGACATCGCTAGATAACTCACTGTCAGTTTCCCCACCACCAGACAACCATGTGTCGCCAGCTACCTCAGAGTCGATCTTGCCACACTTGAGTCCCAATAACCATAATCAATCATCTTTGATCCCGGATGCACCACCACTACTTCGTCTCCTTGACCGTGTCAACCGAGGTATTCCTAAACGTATGCAGCTGACCAAAAATGCAAAACTATTATATCTATTCCTAAAAGTGTGCAAGAGGCTTTAACTGATCCACATTGGCAAGCAACAATGAATAAAGAGTTGAAATCTTTGAATAAGAGTGCTACCTTGGAGATCAAAGACTTGCCAGTTGACAAGAAACCTGTGGGATGCAAATGGGTCTATACGGTGAAGTACAAAGATGATGGGACAGTGGATCGCTTCAAGGAAAGACTGGTACCAAAAGGATACAATTAAAAATATGGAATTGACTATACATATACATTTGCCTCTGTGGCTAAGATCAATACAGTCCGTGTTTTGTTGTCCTTGGCGGCAAATCTTAATTGGTTATTAGAACAGTTCGATATGAAGAATGCCCTCTTGCATGGAGATTTGACAGAAGAGATTTACATGAAACTCCCACCAGGGAGTAACATTCCATATATACATATAGGGCTGGAAAAAAATCCCAAAAATCCCAAACCAAACCAAAAAAATCCCGATCCCAAACCAAAATAATCCCAAACCAAAATTCCCGAAAGTTTCGGGATGTAATCCCAAACCAAACCGAAATTTTCGGTATGGGATTCGGTATTGCATTTCATTTTTTCGGTATTCCCATACCGAACCAAAAAAAAAAATATATATATATATATATATAATTTTTTAATTATAAGAGAATTATTTCAACCGTTGATTGTTTTGGATTTAATCTGTGCCGTCGATTTGTTTTTAGGTCAGATGATAACATTTCACTTTTGTATTCCTCCGTTCATTTGTTTCGAAGCGGAGCCGTGAGCCTCCGACCCTCACCAACGTCGTCCCTCACCATACTGTCGAATTCCGACCAGCCACCGACCCACCACCACACCATACTCTCGTCTCTGACTCTCCAGCCTTCCTTTACCACACAACTACCGCTCTCTCTCTCTCTAGGGCGATTGTCTTTCACGGACAGGACAGGTCACAGAACTGGGGATCTCTCTCGAGTATACTTCTGCAGTTGGATCTCTCTCAAGTTTTGCTGCAGGCAAAGCTGTGCGTGGATGAAAACATCACTGTTATTCCTATACCTGGGCCGTCTGCTTTGTGGCTGCTCTCTCTGCATCTGGCCTCTCCACGGATGAGTTTACGTTTGGTAAGTTTTCCATGGAAATGATGCTGCAGATATTCTTCTTGGTGGATAAGATGTATATAGAACTCTGAAACTGAGTATACTTCTGCAGTTGGATTTCTCGCTAAACATGCTGGATCTAGAAGAGAGAGGTTGACGGTTTCAGCAAATGAGGGGACGACCCAAATATTCTATGTGCCTCCCCACAAACTTCAGCAGTTTCTTGAAGAGACTTCTTCAGTTTTTGGTGTTTCAAGGTAAATACTTTTAAGGCTTCAGATTAAAAATCAATTTTAATAAAGGTATTAAGAAAAAATACCAACTTCAATAAAAGCTTTACTGACTTAAGAAAAGAATGATTATATATTAGTTTTTGTTATGGTGAGTTACAAATTAAACTTCCATGTATGGATTTATGCGCTTTTACTGACTTAGTGGTTTTACAAAAAACTGATTTGGTGAGTTTGTAATTGTGTTTCAGAAAATGCGTCCTAGCTCGTGAAATTACAAAAATTCATGAAGAGGTAGGTTTATGGTGATGTCTTTTATTTATATCTGTTTTACTTGTGATCAGCTTGCTGAATATGTGCACATTATTTTCCTTACTTCATTTGTGATGAATCGCATGCCATTAACCATTTTAAAATCCCATTACATAATTTATCAAGAAACGAAAAGTGATCTACTTTTTATGAGTAGTCTTTGATTCTTTCTGATGATATAACTTAAAAATTTTGCATAGATCTAAGACTAGTAACTAATAATATGGGCGATGTCTCTGTACAAGACTCTTTTGACATGAAATATGCTCCTTTCTGTTAGCTTTGGTAGATTCCACCATCTCATTTATTCTTTCATGTCCATGTCATTGCATAGATTGTTGCTCTGTTAGTGTTAGTAATATCATTAGTATTGTAATACTGATGTTGCTTGAGCATTATTAAACAAGTAACAAGTTAATGTTATCATAGGATGTATATATTGGGTCAGATTTTACTTTGAATGTACATTGTTATTAATGTACATTGTTATATATTAATGTACACACTATGCTGAACTGTGGTTGTGATATATTAATGTACATTGTTATTTTATTTGTTAGGATGGACGGATCTAGTAGCCAATCTAGTACACATATGGTCTCGGTATTAGGAAAACGAAAACAAACCCAACTTAGTGGTACCCTTCAACTAGGCACTCCCTCACCTCAAGATTATTTGCATAATGATTATTATGAAGATTGTTGGGATGATGATCTGGATGTGGAGGATGATATTGCATTAGAACAAATAGAAGAAGAGGGGGAAGATGCAGCTGAACTGCTAATGTTCGTTCTGCTCTTATAAACATTGCAGGTTTGCCCAATATTTTTTTATTTGGTTGAATAAAAGTTAAGCCCATATGTGGGGGCTGTTACATTCAGTGGGCAGGCCCAATATTAGGTTTTTGTCCAATTGGACCAACATTAGCTTTTTTTGTCCAAAAGCCCAAAAACCCAAAATTATTTTTGGGATTCCCGATTTGTCCCGAAATCCCGAAACTATTTCGGGATTCCCGAAAATTGGGATTCCCGAAAATTTGGTTTGGGATCGGTATTGAAATTGGGATTCCCGAAAATTTCGGTATGGGAATCGGGACAAGGGTTTCGGTATGGGATCCCATACCGAACCACCCCTATATACATAGACAAAAGATGTGCAGGCTAAAAAACATTGTATAGTTTGAAGCAGTCCCCAAGAGCGTGGTCCGGGAGATTTACCAAGTCTATGAGAGCATTTGGATATAAGCAGAGTAACTGTGATCACATGTTCTTGAAATGTCAGAACGGAAAGCTTACAACACTCATTGTATATATGGATGACATGATAGTTATTGGTAATGAGCTGGATGAGAGTGTAGCCTTGCATAAATATTTATCTACAAAATTCGAGATAAAGGATCTTGGGTCTCTGAAATATTTTCTCGAGATTAAGGTATCGAGGAATAAGTCAGGAATCTTCCTGTTGTGACTACTCCCTTAGCAAAAGGAACGACGTTGAATATTGATCTAAACTAAGCACTAGTCGATAAAAGGAGGTACTAATGGTTAGTGGGAAGATTAATGTATTTGGCACATACTAGACCAGACTTTGCTTATGCCATGAGTGTCATCAGTCAATACACGCATAATCCAGGAAAAGAACACATGAATGCAGTTATGAGAATATTGAGTTATTTGAAAAAGAAGTCCAGGGAAAGGGATTTTATTTAAGAAGAATGATCATTTTAGAATTGAAGGTTATATGAATGCTGACTGGGCCGATTTTAGTAATGATAGGCCCTCAATATCAGGTTACTTCACCTTTATTGGTGGAAATTTGGTTACTTGGAGAAGCAAGTAGAAGGGTGTAGTAGCAAGGTCGAGTGCAGAAGTGGAATACGGAAGTATGGCCTTTCGTATTTTTGAGATTTTATATCTTAAACTACTATTACAAGATTTGGGCGTCAAACATAGTCAACCGATAAAGTTGTCTTGTGATAATAAAGCTGCTAGCGATATTGCTCATAATCCGATGCAACATGATAGAACTAAGCATGTATGAGTTGACTTCCTCAACCCTACATGATGCCAAATCCACTTGAGTATTTACACACTCAAGGGAGAGTGTTATAAACTTCTTATTTAAGTATGATTGTGTAAATCCTAGATTCTATTTGATTCTAATTATTCTTCCCTATTAGGACTTGTATTCCTTGGAAGAAAAGAATTTCTTCCCTACCTTATTACTATAAATAAAGGCATTGCGTAGGAGAAATAACACATTCTCTACACAACACTACAAACACATCTCTCTCTCAATATTTTCTCTGTGTCGCCAGCCCGCTCTCACTGTCAGTTAAATATAGGACAGAACAATAACAATATTATTAAAGAAAATAACAAAATTATTCCCATTTTAAATTTAAAAAATTATTAATCCATAAACTACAAATGCCTTCTCGCCGTTAATGTCCACGTCAACACAGAGAAATCTATTCACAGAGAGAGAGATCGAAGACGCCGCAGAGTCTGTTTACTCTGCAATTCATTCATCTCGGCTTTCTTCTTTCCGGACACGGCCACTATCTGGTTTCTGATACGGCGTCGTATCCGGTCGAAATCCCAGCTCCAACTGCCACTGTTGGCGGTTAAACTCCCCCGAATCAGGCGGGACACGCTCTTCGCCATCCCACTTATCCACATCTGTCTTTCCTCTGCCCACAACTGTAATATCAAAACAGTCGAATTTTCAGAAAAGTCTCCGCCACCGTCACGGCCACCGTCTCAGCCGTTGTTTCCAGCGTCTCCGATGGAGAAATCGAATCTTTTCAGAGGCAGTTACCTCAACGGAGCTTACCATCCTTCCTTCTCTTCTTCTTCTCGCGCCGATGTCAATTACAGGTCCCATCTCTCTCTCTAAGATCAGTCTTTTTATTTTTCATAAATTAGAATTTTTATTTTTATTTGATAGATCGAAATAAAATTTGAATCTTTGCTATCTGGGTGGATTTAATTGTTGATTATATTTTAATTAATTAATGGAGAAGGAGTGAAAAATTGAAAGAATTGGCAGGATTTGTTTTGTGTTTAAATTGATTGGCAACAGAAATTCTTTGGATTAAACAAATAAGGAAATATTTTTTGAGATCTGTGAAAAGGGTCCTCGACAAAACTGCCAAAAATGGTGTTAAATTTCAGTTCTTGGATCATTCTTGCAGCTTTTGATATTTCAATTTCAGTTCCTTGAGATTGCAATTGTTTAGTTTTGTATCTTATAGGAAACAGTGGAGTGCATTTTTGCTCACTCACGACGGATGACCGATTGTTATTAGATGAGCGTGATTTAATCTATGCATTACAGAAATCTCAAAATTTAAACTCATCGGAATGATAATCAATATAATGGTGATGCGTAAGTGGTGAGCAAGAATATTGCCGAAAGAGTGGTATAGAAAGGGTACCTATTTTCGCATTTCTCTTCAAGCCTCGACACTCCGAACTGAATATTCTATAATTTTATCTACATTCGCGGGAGGAGTGTAGGAAATTAACATAGCACTGCTAAAATTACTGACCCACGTTTATCATTTAGTAACACTAGTTGAAGTATTGTCACAGTGGATTAGCGGTAGAACAATTACCTCAGCCTACTTCAAACCATAGCGGACTTCCAAATTTCTAAGACCTTGTTCGTAAGAAGTGCTAAGAGTATAAGGAAAATTTAGTTTTTATTGTGAAAGGAGCATAAATATTCAAAACTCCGAGTCATTTCAATTTACTTGTCCTTAAGTTCTTAATATCAGGCCAATTTACAGAACATTTAACATGAAAGTTGGTTTTTCATGCAGCTGTGGTTCCTGTGGGTATGAGCTAAACCTATGTTCCAGCAACCGGAACACTACTACGATTGGCTCTAATAAGTATGGAAAATCTATAAAGCGAGGGATCATATCATTCTTTAACATCGATGAGAGCAGATTTACTCAGGTTGATGAATTTAAATGTAAACCCCATTTCTCTAAGCGTTCTTGGGGTTTGTTCAGCCGAAGGACTAAACTTCTTTGTCGCAAGTGTGGTAACCATATAGGAAATGCTTATGATGAGTACACTTCATCGTCTTGCCCGCTTGTGTTAGATGAATCAGATTCATCCGCAGGTCATGAAGTTACTAAATGCAGAAAATTTGATGTTAGAATTTGCGCTTTGCAGCCTTCAAATTCTGAAGAATTTGGCACTTCAATTTTGGAATGAAACTCTGTACGGATTGTATCGTTTTTGTGTTTTACCCCTTTTATTAGAATGTTACTTGTATATAAAAGTTTGATCAGCATTGAAGGAATTGTGGTGTGGAATTTTTGAAGTGCTTTGAATGATTGAGGAAAATTTGTTAGAAGCTTAGAACATAGCATTGCTAGTTTCTTCAATTTGTTGGAGTTATATAATGAACTACTCATTACTCTTTTCCGTCATTTTTTCGGGTGAGTTTTTGTGGGGGTACTTTGGCAGCTCTCTCACGCTAGGGTTAGACCTGAGAGAGCTGCCTAGGGCAAATTTACTCGAGAATTCTCCTATCTGTCATTTCTTGTATTCATAGAAAACAAACTAAACAATAATACATTATACAAATCTACATAGAACAAAATGGCATCCAAAGATTTTAGTTATTTGATATCGGAAGATTCAGGGCATGGGTGTTAAGAATCAAGATACGCATTATCTTACCTTTGAAAATCAATGCTGTGTTTTTCTTCTTCTTAGGTTTGGACTATGCAAGTCACGGACAAAAATATTGAAATGTCCATCAATTGGTCGGCTTACAAAATTTTGACGGAAATATTCAAATTGTCTATTTGTACCTTCGAAAATGCATTTCTACAAAAGAGAGGCAAGAATTCACAAATCAATAACATTTATTACGGTCACTTAGTACTACTGTCTGTTGGTTTTCTTCTTCGCTTGTAAGTAAGAAGCTTTAAGTTCGAATCATTCGATACCAATTAGGTTGCCCATTGTGTGGTTAGCTGAACTCTTCCTCCCCTTAGCATAAAATATATCATTGTACTAAAAATAAAAAATAAATAACAATTTAGTGTGAATAAACTTTTTCTTTAATACTTTTAATAAGTTATTTATGCGAGTATGTAATTTGTAAGGAGGAATGTCTCCTTAATTTGAAGGAGCCAAACAACATTCTTCTACAAATGCAAAATTTGAGTAGTGGCTTTCTGATGTGGTCCAATAAAAAGATGTGACAGGTTCTTTATTTATTAAAGCCCATAAAAAATTTAAATTTATCATGTCTATTATTTTATAAATTAATAAAACACGTGTTAATAAATTATTGGGCTAGATCGTAAAGTCAATATAACGACAGTGACAAATACTATCCGTTAAGTAAAATTCTCCTTGCACTATAAAACAAACAGTAGTGCCCTCTTGAATTTACTTGTCATATGCAAAAATGTTTCTGGTATTATTTTGCTCTTGCATGCTTTTGTCAATCATATATATCACCAATTTTACTGCCTTGGCTTTGGAAGGCTGAGTTTCCAGCAATCTTTTAACTTTGGAGACTCTAATTCATGGTGAATTGGCACACTCCTTACGGCGAGACTTTTTTTCCGTAGGCCGGCTAGATGATTCTCCGACGGCCGCCTCGTAATGGATTTCCTGGGTAAGTATTCCACCATCTCTTAGTTTACTCAAAACTTGTTTATCCTTTGGATGACAATTTAAACATGAATGGTAGTTAGAGAGAGCACTCTTTTCTGTTATTCCAAGGCTCTTTCTATAGGACATGTCTACATAAGTAGCACACATCATATACTTTGTTTGTTCTCAATTATAAATCATTGTTTTTTTTTTCTTTATGAAGTAACCGATGTTGTGGTCTATTTTATCTAACAATATTTAGGGTGGCCGGCGGCAAGGAGAAGAGAGAAAAGAGAGATGTGTTTGTAGAATTGTAGGGGAATGTGTGTTGTTATCCCTCCTACATTGTGCCTTTATTTATAGTAGTAGAAGGAAAGAAGATATTCCTTCTTCCCCAAGTAATACAAGTTGTAATAGGAAAGGATAATTAGAATCAAATCTAATCTAGGATTTACACAATCACATTTAAACTAGGAATGTTTACAGCACACCCCCTTGAGTGTGTAAATACTCAAGGTAGATTTAGTATTATGCAGAAGTTGAGGAAGTTGACTCATCGGAACTGATTCCAAGGAACAACGCTTATTCTCAATAATGTAGGAACTTGCATAAGTAATAAGTCTCACTAAAAAACCCTAAGGCTATGGCAAAAACCCAAAGAGGGACAAAATCCATGGTCTAAGGAAAAATGTGTGAGAAATGCAAAAGTCAAAGAAACGTCTACGGGACATCATCAGGGATATGACTAGTCCAAGGTGGGTGTCTTGTTAAAACCTAGTTAAGTATCAAAAACCCAGCAGGAAAAATGCTCCTAATCGTAGGGGAAAAGACTACATTAAGATCAAACAAGTATCTACAGGATACTCTCCCTGAGTTTGACATAATTCCAAAGAGAAATAGCAAAGTTACAACTCAGAAAGTTTACGCATACCAATTCCATGAAGAAGCTTCTGAAACGCCGTCTTAGGCATTGATTTGGTGAAGAGATTGACCAGATTGTCTTGTGAACAGATTTGCGTGACTTTAATCTTCTGATGCTCTTGTTGTTGATGTGTAAAGAAAAACTTCGGCGTAATGTGCTTGGTGTTGTCTCCTTTGATGTAACCCTTCTTGAGCTATTCGATGCAAGCTGCGTTGTCTTCAAAGATCGTCGTCGGGATATCAACGATGGGATGAAGATCACAAGAGCTTCGAATATGGCCTACTACTGCTTTCAACCAAAAGCATTCCCGAGTTGCTTCATGTAAGGCGAGAATTTCAACATGGTTAGACGAAGTGGCAACTAAGGTCTGTTTAGTTGACCTCCAAGATATTGCGGTGCCTCAAACGGTAAAGACATAACCTATTTGAGAGCGCGCCTTGTGGGGATCAGATAAGTATCCTACGTCGGCATAACCAACAAGGCGAGAATCAACTCGAGGAACATAGGGTGCGGCATCATTCGAGGATTCGTAAGGATAGAACAAGCCCCCGTAATACCCTTAAGGTAACGGAAGATGTCTTTCACGCCAATCCAGTGTCTGCATGAAGGTGTATTACTGTATCTTGCCAAAAGATTAACAATGAAGGAGATGTTGGGTCTAGTGCATTGAGCTAAGTACAATAAAGCGCCTATCGCACTTAGATAAGGAACTTCAAGCTCTAAAATCTCTTCATCATCCTCATTCAGACGGAAGGGATCTCATTTTGCATTTAGCGAACGAACGACCATAGGAGTACTCAAAGACTTCGCTTTATCCTCATTAAAGCGGTGCAGCACATTCTGGGTGTAGTTCGATTGATGTACTAGCATTCCATCCGAACAATGCTCTATCTCAAGACCGAGACAATATCGAGTCTTACCTAGATCTTTCATCTCAAATTCCGACTTCAAGTGCGAGGCAGTTTTTGCGAGCTCTTCAGGAGTTCCAATAAGATTCATGTCATCGACATATACTACTGCAACAATCGCAAATCCTGAATGTGACTTCTTAATGAACACACAAGGGTATAGTTCATTGTTCACATATCCCTGACTATTCAAATACTCACTTAGATGGTTATACCACATTCTTTCAGATTGTTTCAAATTCCGACTTCAAGTGCGAGGCAGTTTTTGCGAGCTCTTCAGGAGTTCCAATAAGATTCATGTCATCGACATATATTACTGCAACAATCGCAAATCCTGAATATGACTTCTTAATGAACACACAAAGGCATAGTTCATTGTTCACATATCCCTGACTATTCAAATACTCACTTAGATGGTTATACCACATTCTTTCAGATTGTTTCAAACCATAGAGTGAACGCCTCAGCCAAATTGAGAGCGTGTTTCGGGGTATGGAAGTATTTGAACCAGTCAATGCAAGTCCTTCGAGAACTTTCATAGAGATTTCCGTATCAAGATCCCCATAGAGATACGCGGTTACTACGTCCATCAACTGCATATCCAGTTTTTCAGAAACTACCAAATTGATAAGGTAGCGAAAAGTAATCACATCCATAACGGGTGAATAAGTTTCGTCATAGTTAATCACTGGGCGTTGTGAGAAGCCTTGTGCAACAAGACGAGTTTTGTAAGGCACAATTGTCATCTTCATTTTGAGTAAAACCAAACAATTTGATTTCAGTGTCAAAACAAATGTTCCAGCTCGAAGAGGCTTGCTTAAATCCATAAATGGGCCTCTGAAGCTTGCATACCTTAGTCTTTTCAGACTTGGACATGAAACCTTTAGGTTAAGTCATATAGAGCTCTTCCTCTAGATAGCCATTCAGAAAGGTCATCTTCACATCCATTTGCTATATCTCATAATCATGGTATGTAGCTATAGCAAGCAAAATCCAAATGGACTTAATCATGGCTACAGGAAAGAAGGTTTCTTTATAGTCAATTCCTTCTTGTTGCCGGTAACCCTTGGCTACTAGTCTAGCCTTATAAGTCCCCACGTTCCCATCAACTCCTATCTTTTTCTTGAAGACCCATTTGTTTCCAACAGGTACGATACCTTCTGGAGGGTCTACAAGAGTCCAGACCTGATTTTGACATATGCTTCACAATCCCAAATCTTAATATGATTAAGACTTGGCTTTCTCCCATGCCATATCTCAGAGGGCGTCTGTGAAATTAACTTGGAGGGTACTCTATTAAGCAAGTAAGCTGCTGTATATAGAGCGTATCCCCATAATGTTACTGGTAGATCGGCGAAACTCATCATAGAACAAACCATGTTCATCAAGGTTCAATTTCTCATTTCAAAAACTCCATTAAGTTGTGGAGTTCCTGTGGAGTCCACTGTGATATTATTCCACACTGTTTGAGATAATCTAGGAACTTGTTACTTAGATACTCTCCCCCTCGATCTGATCTTAGGATCTTTATCTGCTTCCCAGATTGCTTCTCAACTTCGTTCTTGAATTCTTTAAACTTTTCAAAGGATTTTGACTTGTACTTCATAAGATACACATAGCCAAACCGAGAGTGATCGTCGGTGAATGTGATATAATAGGAGAAGCCTCATCTCGACGTAGTAGACATAGGTCCACATTCGTCAGTGTGGATTAACCCTAGAATTACAGTGGCACACTCTCCCTTCCCAGTGAATGAAGACTTGGTCATCTTCCCTTACAAGCAACATTCACAAGTACCCATTTGGTCATTACCTAATGGGCGGAAATATCCGTCTTTCAACATCTTGCGAATCTTATCAAGGTTCACATGTCCAAGTTTAAGATGCCACTTATTTTCTTGGTTAACTTCTTCTCTA